ATACTTCAATGTCGATTAATGTATTAATTTTGTGTTAATTTAGACATAACATTTGAGTTACTTTTTAACATATTTACTTTGTATTGAATTAACACAAAAATTTGAGACATGTGAAATGTGTTAAATTTGATACAAATTTTTTTACTGCGTAATTACTGGAAATCGAAATGGCTTCACTAAGTATTTTAAACAATGACAGGTGTGTTTTATACTTATCTTGTATAATTTAAAAGGATATATGTACAAGATAAGGATATATATAGGGTGTTCCAGGATCGACATATGTCCTTAACATGACATATTCTTTGGGACATTCTAAGAAAGTTCAAGTATGAAAATATCGAAGAAGGTCCTTATAGCGATGTTTCAATATTCAACATTTTTATAATTAAAATCTAAAGTAAACATCTATAAAAGTTCATTTGAAATTGATCGAAGAAAATAATTTTGTTATTCATTCGGTCGTTCGAAGTTTAGTTTGCGAAAAGCTCTGCTTTCTCGATCGCTTATATCTCGTAAACTATTGAATCGTCGATATTTTTTCGTCGATTTCGTTGATTACTTTTAATCGTCAATATTTCAGCTTTCATCTTAGAATTTCCCAAAAATTCTGTCATATTGACGTTGATAGTTTTGGGAGACTCTATACAATGATAAAAGAAATTTATTGTGTATCCCAGATGTCTCATGGTATGAGTCATATGTCAAAAAGAAAAGAAAGAGAGAGAGAGAAGAGAAAGAGGTGAGCCAAATATTGCGTTCTTTCTCTCTCTCTCTCTCTCTCTCTCTCTCTCTCTCTCTCTCAAAAAATTGTGAAATTTTCAAGTTAGCATGATTTAAAGCCGATTTATTCGAACTGGTCGGAGAGCCGTATTTCTCATTACGCATATACATTTTTCCACGCTTGAATTATTCCGCTTGCAAAAATCTCGATGCATCAATCTTGGTGACGGACAAGTAGTTAAAAATTCCCTCGCGCGATTCGCGCCGTGAAAAGGTTACAATAGATATTCTACATCGTTATCAAATTTTTTAACCTCGTCGAAAACTATTTTATGATGGCGCACATGTGCCATTACGAGACCGGGTGGAAACAAGCTTTGTTGTGCTTGTGTCAACAAAAGACGCGTGTTCTGGAAGCGCGTGCTGCATGCGACGCCTGGAAGAATGAAAGTAAATATCGAGCGCGGCGCAGGTGGACCGGATAAGATTAAACAGCTGTTTCCGCGTTTTATCGGGAGTGCAGTTAACCGCCGACCGTCCCCTCCCTTTCCCGAAATGCATTCTTCTCGGGCGCGTTAGCACGCGCGTGCAATATCCGCAATAGCGGCTCGCACAAATGAATTGCGCTTTGCGCAAGCAGTTGGGACGGACTTTAAGAGGAAATAGTCCAATAATGCACGCGATAAACTCCACGCGAAATATTTCCGCTGCTTTGCGCCTCGTCCCGTTACATTTGCATATCTTATCTTATTTATACAAATGTCGAGACCAACTCGAGAAAACTTTTTTTTTGAAAAAACTTGCAAACAAAAGGTACTCAAGAATAATTAATCGACAAGCATGATCTCGAGAAACAACCGTTTCAACAGAAAGCACTGACTTTTTGAAAATCAGTAAAATCGTCTTTTCTCCTCGATTCTGTCTGAAAATACGAGTCTAAATCTTCCTCTCTCTCTTTCTCTCTTATTAATTATCCGTACTTCACTTATAAAATTTATTATAAGAGAACAGTAGAAAATTTATAAAAGTACTTTAATTCCAATGTAGTTCTCTAGATTTTTAATGCACTTAGTACAACGCGTCACAAGTTTCTTTATTCCGTCGGAAAAATATGTACTGTCAACGTATGCAAATTTACAAGTGCGAATAATTATTGACTTATCCTCGTGTATATTTGCATCATAATAAATTCATACTCACTATTCATTATTTCTAGACAATTAAATAAATTAAATAAATTAAATTAACAATTAAATAAATTGACGAGCTAACGAATCAAAATTAGAATAACATTAAAGTGATCAAATTAAATGATCGAATGATTTATTTTTTCACTTGATTTATTTTAATGTAACTTGATACGCGACACATATAAGAACTCTAAGGAGATACGTTTTCTAGTCGTATCTGTTCCCCAACGGCAGAGTTGAAGACTTTTCTTGCAACATTCCGCAAAAATTTATGAAACCGGCGTATGTACACTTTTATGATGCATCGCAGTCTCGGGGTTGGCTCGCCGAGCAAGCTTCTACGCGCGCACAAAAAAGTCGTGCTCCGACTTTAATTATACGCGAATCGCACGAGAGACAAATTCCACGTAGCGTGAGCGACGCACACGTCGCATCTCCTAGGATTTTATTTCGAAGTGTCCAATCGTCGCGGGAGAAAGGGAGCACGACGGAATGGATAGAAAACAGCTGAGGTGCAGCTGGTTTCTGGCATCGCGACGGCTGGCGTCTTCTCCGCGCAGGGAGCGTCGCACCCGCGCGCAAGTGTGCACGCACGTGACGTCTGTGTATAGCACAAACCATCGATGGTAGAAAGCAGAGCCAGAATCGATACCTAATAATATTTTAGCCGCAGGCGATAACAAATCCCAGAAGAAAAATTAACATTCGCAACCGTAACGCGGCAATGGTAACGCGCTTTTCAGATTCCCGTTAATCTGTAAATAATTACGATTCTCCGATTACAGCGCGATCGCCGCTTCGCCGATGAATCCGACGGAGACGCGGACCGTAGAGCAAATATTTGAAATCAGTGGGGGGAAGGTTGCCTTGTTCAAAGAACGCGTACCTCGGGTAGAAATGCGGAATCTAGTTTCTACGAAATATTATTCTTGCGTCTTCGCGAGAGCTACGAGAAAAAGGAATGTTTCGCAACTCGAGCACGACCGGTATTTTCGGTCCGTCTTTCAAATGGAAAGAAGTGTCACGTGAGCATCACTCGTTTCGAGAGGATCTCAAACAGAAGACTCCATTAATGCAGTCCCCAGAGTGATATCGAAAATTTTCGATCAGGCGTCGATTTATGTCTAAATAAAGTAACAGTACCAAAACTGACATAAATATGGGAAACCGACGTATCTATATTTCTCGGCGGAAAAGTACTAAACTCTGTCGGGGCTAGTACGTGAACTTCGGCTAATGTGTACAGTAGTTGCAACTGAAGTGACAGTTTCTGTTAGCAAACGCGTTCAGTTATGTTACCAGCGTCGTTTGATTCTTCGTGAAAGTTTTGTTGAGCTTTCTTCTTGCGAAAATTAAAGTAACAAATCAGCAGTAAGTAATTTATTTGACAATGCTATTTTATAGTGTGAGTTTTGAACTTTTTAAATTACTTTGGATCTTGTGCTAATCCCTATCTTCTGTCACTGTGAACTTCGCAAGAAACGTTAGGGTTAAGTTGTTCTGTGAGTCGAGATACCTGAGTTTACTAGTCTTCCAACAGATATACCTGAACTTTGTTGCGAAACATCATTTCACAGAATGCAGTTGAAGCTACCGGTGACTGATTTCCTCTATTTTTCTTGTTTTTTTGTTTAAGATAGTCGGAAAGAAAAAGTTCGGAGATTTCTTTCCAAATAATAAAAAAGAACAGTATATATCGTAAGATTTTTAAAGTTTTAAAAAATATAAGATTAAAAAGGTAACATGTAAGGATATATAATAAATATATAAAATAATATAATTGTACAAGTTCATGTAATGATTTTATTTTATTTTTTGATCATTTCCCATAGGTATCATGTCGGCTTTGAAGCCTAATTTCCAGAAGCCAATCCACAAACATCGTGAAAAATAGTCATTTGCAAGAAAATATATAATTTTCATAAGACTATCATATATTTTCATAAAAAAGTGTTGCTAGTTTGCATCCACATATACTTTTAATTTTACACCTTCAACAAGACTTTAGAGTCCAAAAACAAAATAACATATCGGTTTTGGTGCTTTTCTTCTACTGTTGATTACTCGGCATCGATGCTCCAAAGCAGGACAGCGGTCATGTAATTTTTCCCTAGAGCAGAAACGTGAAAAGTGAACATTTTCAAATGCTTTCAAATTGCAAAATTTCTACTTTTCACGAGTTCATGCTAAAGAAAAAGATTCACGATCGAGGGTTCACAAATCTTCTTTTCTAATGCGAACTCGTGGAAAATAAAAATTCTTTAATTCAATAGCACTTGGAAATTCACTTCACTTCACTTCACTTTTCACGTTTCCGCCCTAGGGAAAAATGACGTGATCGATTCTCAGCATATATAATGCATAAATATTAAAAAATAATGCTGCGCCTGATTGAAAGTTTTCAGTGTTACTATGCTTAAGGAGTGTGACTGCATTGCGATGGAGTTTCCTGATGCACGGATATCGAAGTGTCAACGTTAAAATGACCGCCGATCCGCTCGAGTAGGTCGCTTAATCTTCAAGTCCGGTACGATTGAGAGAAAGCGCACGCGACTTCCGCCACATCCCGATAAAGAAGGGAAAAAAAGAAAAGCGTGGTGTCATCTCGCACACGCTGTCTCCGAGCGACGACATGGCACGCGTCGCGCCGCGTCGACGTCGCTCACTGTACCTCGGTGCGCTGAACATGTGCAGTGGACACTTCGAATGTCTTCCTCCGGAATTAACGCGGCGAAAGAAGTCACGTGAATCTTTCCGCGGGGAAGCGGCGCGCGCGCTAAGTATAGCGGGCGCGCGCGCTCGGATGCAGCCGTGAAAAGCATTCGCATTAATCTCGGCGCCACCTTTGCCGGCTGGACGAGTGAAATATTTCACGGCGACGGCTGCGTCCTCGCTAATGAAACGCCCCAGGTGGTGGTGGTGGACCGCCGGAGATTCTCTCGTCGCGGATTAAAAAGCCCGGATATCCCCGCGAGGACGTCTCTTCCGGTGCGCCTAGCTCAACTTCGCCCTCCCGTTTCGCGTCGTCGCACGCCGAGACGCGACCTCGCACTCTCCCCCGGTATGGGATTGATCAACACACCGCTCTATCGTGTACAAAGAATTTATTTCGTTGAACATAGACAGTATTCACAAGCTCACGCTCAGCTTATACAACGTGACATCGAGATATGGTATCTGCGTGTGTGCGTGTGTGGATGATCGAGACGCCTCGAGATTGCTGCGGTTCTCATATTGCCGATTGATCGATCGATCGATTAGCTCGCACGCAGCATTCGAAGTGGCTGATGCATGAGTCCGACTTTTCGGGGCATAATTAATAAGCGTCTTCAAGAATATTTGCTTTGTTTAGGTTTTCGATTTCATTCTCACTCTCTCTCTCTCTCTCTCTCTCTCTCTCTCTCTCCCTTTCTTTCTTTCTCTCTCTCATTCTCTCGGCCTTTCTCTCTAGCTCTCGGCTTCTTTCTCTCTCTCGCTCGCTCTCTTTCCCGTATTTGCTCGACCCCGGCTTTCTCTCAGCCGGTGTCGGACGTGCAGGAAGACGTGTCGGCGTTACTCTGATCGTTGTTGCTCTCCGTCGACGAGCTGTCGTTACTCTTTATTCGCCGTTTGCGCAGCTTCGTGAACTGAAACTCCTCGACCGGCACTGCACACCAACAATTGAAGTCATGTCATTAGTCTCCTGGCTAATTATCGATGCCCGCGATATTCTTTCTTATTTTTTTATTGCTTTCTTATTTTTCTCTGGGCACGTCAGGAGGTAGGACAGTTTGATCGGGGTAAGTCAAATCGCAGCGTGTAGGAAAACGAAAACGAAGAACACTTGTATATTTCTTTCTCTCTCTTTCTTTCTTTCTCTCTCTCTCTCTCTCTCTCCCTCCCTCTCTTTCTCTCTCGACCGACCGAAACGCTTTACAACGTGGATCGCATTATCTTACAATGGAAGTGCGCGTACCACGGAGCTTGTTTGAGCACCTTAAGACACTGACTCGTAGGTTGCGGAACTTAGGCGAGTACCGCCGATATCGTGCACCAAAATCTTTAACCGATACGGAACGCATATTCTCCTTCCTCATTGCGCGCACATCCTCTCGCATCCGTGCGAAACCGCAACGGAACAACGACTTAATTTAATCTTTAGCTCCCCTACGTAGCAAACTCTATTGCTAGAGAGGCACTGGATACGGCGTCACCCCGACTGCGAGACAGACTGTTTCACGAGTGTCACGACCGGATTGTAAATCGTTGCAGAAACGTACCTATCGCACGGCATGGAATAGACGATTCTATGTGTGTATGTATGTATATGTGTTTATATATGTATGGTGTATGTGTGTGTGTGTGCGACGAGGTAGACGAGAAACGAACGATCTTTATTTACAATAATGCACTATGTAACACACATGAACAAGCTTCCTTACTATGCGCTGGGAGAAGCGATAAATCGGCTCGTACATCGAAAGCGTGTCGTTTATGCGATATGTACACATACTTACGCGCGACGTAGTCGGTGAATTATGTAATGAAGAAGGAACACTTATAAAACAGTAAACTTCCGTACTTCCGTGCCGACGCCGTTCGCTCTCCGTCGTTTTCTCCGACCTCACGTCTGTGTGATATCTATTACCTAACGCGATATTTCTCATTCTCTCTCTCTCTCTCTCTCTCTCTCTCTCTCTCTCTATCTATATCTTTCTTTGTCGCTCATTCATGACCAAGAAATCATTTACAGGATTCGTTAACGTCTATTCGCGTGACAGTATGGAAATTTACTTCGTGCTTCGTTTGCAGTGTGGCAACTCTTGCTCGACGGTATAACGAATCGTTACATGTTACATGCGAGCAGTAATATGATCAAACGTATGTGTTGTACGGCCAAAGGATCCCGGGAGATATCTACTCTGTATTATTCGTACGAGAGACTTGCGAAAATAATCGGGCGACGTTGGGCCGCCCCGTTGCAATATATATATATATATATATATATATATATATATATGTATAATCTGTACAGCGGTTTTGTACCCAATACGTCCCTCTCCCGCAGGAGAGAAAATGCACAAAATGTCAGGTAAAGTGCAATCTTCGGAAGCGAGATACGTTGACTTCTCGTTAAACATCGACTTCTAGTAGAAATATCTCTTTAAAATAGAGTCTCTTATGCATTCACAGCTATAACGTATTTACATACATTTCACAACAATAAAGTCGTCTCAATCTTTAAACAGTGGTACAGACTAAACAGGTCCTCTTTAAGTCTTACAACAAAGCATAGACTCGTGTCACGCCTCCGCCAATGGTGTACACATTAGAAATCGTAATATGTTACCTGAATCACATCGTCCGTTCGTGCGCTCCGTAGGCTTACTTTATGCGTTTTACATTCGAACGTTCCGTCAGCTTCCGCACGGAAGCCGGGACGGTCTTATTCTTTAACGATATGATTATTTGTAGATGAGGTCTCATTACCGTCTGAATCGGGATCACGATCGGCGGCACAATGAGCCGGAGCGGACGGCAGCGGCACGATCTCCGGCTCGAGGGGCTTCACCGGGCAATCGACATCCTCCACGATGACTTCCTCCGCCAAACTGCTCCTCACTGCCTCTGCGGGTTGGCGAATAATCAAGTTCACATTCGCACTTAATCCCTCATTAGAGCTCGTCCACGCGACTGATTACCGTTAAACGCCTGCGGGTACTGTTGGCTCAGTTTGTTCTTTACCAGACGAATCCTCTTAAAGATGTAATCTAAGTCCCTTTTCATTTCTATGAGAAGAGCAGTGTGCTTTTTGAACTCGGTACCGGCTGTCTTCAGTCTGTTTATCGATAACTGATTGCAGTTGGTCAACATCTCGTTGGTTTTCTCGAACCTTTGCAACCTGGAATCGAAAAGAGAAATAAAGGACACGTCAACAAATGACAAAGAGTGGCCATAATTAATATTAATATATAATATAATATAATAAAAAATAACATTCAAGCTGATATTCATAGTCAGATCTTATATATAAGACCATCTAAATTCATCTTTGAATATTATATGACTCATTTCATTGGATACAATCTCAAGATGAACTTAGGACAGTCTTAAATATAAGATCTGACTACAAAAACTGGCCTCACAACTCAATAAACATCAACGGTAACATTACAACAATGTCATAATTTCTCACTCAACAATAGTTGCTTTCCAGCAAGAGACACAAGTCTAGATATATCATCTATTATTCTTTTCTTTATTAAATGCAAAACAAGAGCAAATGTTGATATAACTAGATTTGTGTCGATTTGTGTCTCTTACTAAAAAACAACCAATTAAAATAACTGTTACGTACAACCTGTTATAGTACGAGGGCGGTCCGATAAGTACTTAGCCTACAAAAGAAAAACGAAAATTTGGGAAAGTGGCGATTTATTTCTCAACATAGTCTCCTTTTAGCTCGATACACTTCACCCAGCGATGCTCCAACTTCTTTAACCCATCTGAAAAATACGTTTTCTCGAAGTCTGCAAAGGCCTCCGTGGCGGCGATGACCTCCTCATTCGACTCAAATTTCTGCCCGGCGAGTGACTTTTTCAAGTTTGGAAACAAAAAAAAGTCACATGGGGCCAAATCTGGAGAATACGGTGGATGGGGCAGCAGTTTGTAGTCCAATTCGACCAATTCGGCCGAATGAGGAGGTTATCGCCGCCACGGAGGCCTACTTTGCAGACTTCGAGAAAACGTATTTTTCAGGTGGGTTAAAAAAGTTGGAGCATCGCTGGGTCAAGTGTATCGAGCTAAAAGGAGACTATGTTGAGAAATAAATCGCCACTTTTCCCAAATTTTCGTTCTTCTTTTGTAAGCTAAGTACTTATCGGACTGCCCTCGTATATTTACATTGTTAAATGAAAAGTTACGACAGGCTTGTTCTTTGTTCCTGCACTGGCTGCACTAGTTCGAGAAGTGCATGTTCCAATATTCGTTGCCAGTAGTATAAATCTAAAATACATGTAACATGAACGATAAATTTGTAATACTGTCAGTAAATATCTAACCGTATATTTCTTGAACCAGTGCAGCTAGTGCAGGAACAAAATACAAACCTAACATCGATATTACCATTATTCAGTATTTACTGGAAAAGCATCTGAGACTACTTGCATTTGTTTCTGAGCACGTATCATGGACTCTACATCCTGCTGATCGACAATGCCAGCCAGGCCTTGCACAAACACCTCTGGCGCAGTATAGTTTCTGAAACACTCGAAACTGCCAGTATCCGACTCTGGTGTGCCTTGCGCCGCTGCCATGCTTTCGTTATCTCAAGACTACCAGACCTCGAATTTATTCTCATCGTCAAGCAACCTCGTCACATAACTCCGTCCCGCTGGCTCAGCACGAGTGGGCCGGCTTACCACACAATTCTTCATTCGTAAAGAAATTCCCTTTCAGGACACAAACGAGCATACGTTTCACGAGCACTGCATCCGGTCGCGTATCTCTGCCAACACGTCATATCGATCTGAGAAGGCCGGGAATGACTAAGTGAGAATCGTTCTAGCTATCAAGCCGATCGTTACCTCACGATACAACGTGGTCCCACGCTTATCGCATTCCGGAGAACGTCGAATCCGTCTATCTAAGCTGTCCGTTATCGATCTGTTGAGAGGCACGTTCAATTTAAACAGCTTCCCGAGTCGATGGACGAAGCAACGCGAAGTAGGCGTGAGATCCGCGACACACACGACGATCTATTCCTCGTCACAACCTGGTCGCTCGATCGAATCCCGTGGAATCGAAGAAAGCGGTGGAACGAGACACGGTGAGGGCAGAGCCGACGACGCGGACACGACCGGGATTGCGAGAGCACGCGACGACGCACCGTCGTCACTTCGCTCGCGCCGCAAGAGACGCAACAGCTGTTCACCGCTCGACGTTTTCGGCACGCACAGTAGCACGTGTGTAGCGAGCATTCAAATTCTCGCCGTGCCTGACTGGTGTTGTGGCCGTTTGCGAGCAGCTTCGTTCTCAAGAAGGCTCATCTCTCGCTCCTTCCCTTTTCCTCCTGCGCGACTGATTTCGACGCCGCGTACGGTGTCGAGATCCGCGGGTGGTCTCAGGAGCATGGCGCAGAACGTCAACCCGTTCTGCTCGTCGCAGAACACGCCGAACAAGGCCGCCGAGGAGAAGCAGAACGTGCCGAAGGACAATCATGCGGTCAGCAAACGGTGAGTTTCGATCTTCGTCGCGATGTGTTTTCCTCCTTTCTCTCTCGCTCTCCAGCGAACTGGCGACGATCGCGATCATTCTTTACGCCTGGGCTTTGTATACCTTCCACGAGTAATTGATCTCGCTCTTTGTTTGCTCTGTGGTAACGTAACCTAGCACACAGGCCAACACAGGCTGATATTATAATCTCCGGCGATATTCGACTGTCCCGAGTATTTCACTGAATTTAATATTATGTTACTTTATCATTTTCTCCACTAGGAGCAGCTATGTGCGAATTATTGTCTCACGCAGGTGTTACTGTTGAGACTCACTCATTACTGTTGATTGTTCAGGTTGCAAAAGGAGCTCATGGTGTTGATGATGAGCACTGAACATGGAGTATCCGCCTTTCCAGAGGGAGAAAATTTGTTCAAATGGATTGGGACTATCACTGGACCAAAAGATACAGTGAGGCTTGTTTTATTACCACTTGGAGTACCTGAATTTCAATGCGCTTGGTTCTCGGTATTCTGATGCAACGATGAGGAGAGATTTGATTTAAGAATCTTGTGTATAATCTCTAGGTATATGCTGGTCTCACCTACAAATTGACTCTGGAATTTCCACATAGTTATCCATACAGTGCTCCGATAGTTCGTTTTGTAACACCTTGTTTTCATCCTAACGTTGATCCTGTTGGTAATATATGTTTGGATATATTGAAGGATAAATGGAGCGCATTGTATGATGTGCGTACTATTTTACTCTCCATACAGTCTCTTCTTAGTGGTGAGTATGAACAAATGAGGTGATTATGTGATAAGCCAGCCATTGGTTATGCGCAATGCTGATTCCAATTACATCTCATTCCACAGAACCTAACAACGATAGTCCACTTAATATTCAAGCAGCAGAGCTTTGGAGCAACCAGACGAAATACAAAAAGTATCTGACAGAGGAATACAACAGAGCACACAGTCGTAACCCGCAGGATTCATGATGAGCCATTATCACATAATCATTTTGAATCGTTTAATATCATTATTCCTATTTCGGGCGATAGGATTATAATTAAGTGTAAGATTAATTGGAATTTTGTGCACGTTTCTCACAAGTCATGAATACGAACACATCAACGAGAATTTAGATCGAAATTTCCTCCCATCGGAATGATAAGGACAAAATTGTTCACTGCGAATTTTTGATATTGCGTTGCATTTATATAGCAAGATTCTTGTAGAAAGTTGTGAGGATAATTGTAAATTCACATGATCACACACCGACATCAAGACTGCGTACACATGAACATCTTTTAATTGACATACAATCGCACAAGAAACACATTTATTTATTTATCATGTAGAAACATATGCATTGGTCCTTCGATCATTGCAGTCATCATGTATTACATCCACACTTGATGTTTCTTTCTATTTTTACCATTATTGTATAATTCCAAAATAAATATTTTAATGATCGTACAACGTGATTGAAACAATCTCTAGTTTCCGTTAAAACACATGCAGCTTAGCATATTACGTCTTAGTTATGTCACAATTATGTCTTTAATGTCAATAAGACTTCATTAAAATGCCATTTAACATCACTTTGTTGCTTGAGGCTCTGTTTTTTAGTTAATTTCCAAAATCAGCATATTATATACATGATCATGTTATTCTTCTTAGTGCAACAATATTACTTTTTTATCATGCTTTAATATTTGTCTCAGCATTTGCTGTTAGTATACAGTTTTCTAATATTATTTCTCGAAAAACTGCGGAAACATTCACATATTAGGTGAAATGATTGTTGATTTTGAAATATTTCCGAGATAATTACTCTTTTTTGTTTTTTTAACAGATTATATATTCAGAAAGACTATTTTTTGTACAATGCAACTTGTACCATTGTCCAATGGCTCAAAACTGCGATTCATTTTTAAATGCATATATAATAAATTTAAATTTGTCCATAACTGATAAAGCAATAGCTACCCAGCGAACACTAACAATAACATTAATCTTTATATTAATTATTCATATTATGTATAGATTTTCAGTACTAATGGTGAATATTGAGATGTAGTCATTAGTTATTTACACCAACTGTTGGTTAATGTTCACTGGGCGATAAATGAATTCACACAGCTGCGCAACTTTATAAATTAGCCACAGATATAATTGCATCATATTTTTTTTTTTAAATCACATGACGATACACTCTTTCTACCTCGCTTCATGATTCAGTCGATAACGTCGTAAATATAACACGTCTGTTCGTTTTTGCTGCACCGCTGAATTAGTGCAATAAGTTGAAGAGAGAAAACATATACTTGTCTCGCTTCAACTTATTGCACTAGTTCAGCGGTACAGCGAAAACGAACAGACTTATAATGCAAGCCATATACCTGATAGAAACTTTAAATTTTGTAAAAACGTGGTTACACCAAGCTACACTTCCATGCACTGGTACACTTGTACTGACGGCACTAGCTCGAGACTCAGTGCAGGTAGTTTAGTGAACTGTTGCACTACATGCTGTTGCACTGCGAAAACGAACAGCGTTGATGACGTCATGATGACGTCATTCTCGATAAAAAGAACGCTTTAGTGTAAACTCTTTGCACTGGTGTGCACTAGTGCAGAAAGTGTTTCGAAGAAAAAACAGACCTATTGCAAAAACGAACAGCGTTGATGACGTCATGATGACGTCATTCTCGATAAAAAGAACGTTTTAGTGTAAACTCCTTGCACTGGTGTGCACTAATGCAGAAAATGTTTCGAAAAAAAACAGACCTTATATATTTGTAGGCGGTGTACAATTTGAATTAAATTATAACGTGATAAATTTTAACTGTGACAATTTGGAGTATTGTGTAAATGGTAGGAAAATATTGATACCATTACGTAACAATGACAGATTTAATAACGAAACAAATAAAGAAAATTATTCTGTAATAAATGAGCAAAATGAAATAACATTTGGTTGGGATGACCCAACACCAAATTATTTTTAATTTTGTACAAGGATCAAAGTGAACAGTTAAAAAATAGAAAAATTAAAATGGAAAAAATTATGTTGAATAACATTTCATCAGAAATGCAAAAGAATGGATACAATACAACCACACTACAGGTGGAAAATAAATATAAATCACTCAAGAGATCATACAAGAATATGATATCGAATAATAAAAAAACAGGTAGAGGCTGTCATGTGCGTATAGAAGGTTAGTGTTTACATAATACATATGTTAATTCATTAATGTGAGAAGTGCTAATATATACATTTATTTTAATTATTATAGGGAATTGTCTGAATT